CAGGATTTGGAGGGCGACGGCCCCGCGACGCCCCGCGCCTTCGGGCGCTGCTCGGTTGAGCAAGTCGACAGGAGCATTCCGGGGCTGGGAAGGGGCGGCTCGGCCCGCGTGTCGGTGGACCTCGAGCTGCATTTGCGGCACTGCACACCATCGCAGAGCGAGCAGGAGGGCCTTGCCGGCGGGCAGCCTCGGAAGTCTAAGGTGTTTACGCGCAACTGCCGCGGCAGTAAGCCTGCAGCAGTGGCCGCGGGGGCGGGGAGCGCGGGGCCGAGCGGCGGTGCCGTCGAACACCGCCCGCGGCCTAGCGCGGTAGCGATGCTCCGAGCGGGCGGCTGGGCGTCGACGCAAGGGTTGAGCAGGCTGGGCAGGATCGAGCAGCTCATGGGCACGCTGACTAATGCGGTCGGAACGCTGCATCCGAAGCTGGACGGGTTGGACCGACGGCTGCGGGTGATGGAAGGCGCCCATTTGTCAGAGGCGAGCGCTGAGGGTGGGGGGGAGCGATGAACGCGCGGCTGGACTGCCAGAAAGGCGGCAGGGTACGGATGATTGGGGAGTAGCGTGGGAAGGGGAGGAAAGGGAGGGAAGAAGATTAGGGACAGCGGTTAGCGTAGGACACCATGGCCGATGTACTTTATCTGCGTCAGACTGTGAAGCCGCAGAGGCGCGCGCGTGCGCACGTGTGTGCATGGCCTGTGTCTAAACTGGGATTTTGGCTCTGTATATACGCAGTGAGACTGAGAAGCCTCTCGTATTGCCAACAAAGAGTACGGCGATTGGTGTCAATGGGAAAAAAGCGTGCGGGATCGGCACATGTCACAAGCCCAGTGCTGGGATAGGAATGGTGCTGCTCGTGCTGCAAACCGGCGCCGGTTGATAGAGCATTGTTTCGGTGGCCTGTTTGTCTGCAGAGGGGCCCTGCCTACCAGCCTTGGATTGTTGAGCGTATTCCAATTCTGACGCTTCCCCCATCGTGGTAATGTCGCACGCTGATGCTGCCTGCTCTTGGCACGTGCACACTCGACATCACCAATCACTCAACAATGCCAATCGCCGCACCGTGTGGCGTGCACACATGCGCACATGCGTGGGAAGATGGCGCATGTTCCAATGGACATGGGGAGAGAGGCAACAGGGGTCGCTGTTACCTAACCGGCAGTGACCATTGGCAGGTATAATGTAATGAATGTATTGACAACGCGATGATGCGAGTCGCATAGCTAACTTTCAAGAGTGGAGAGAGACATAGACATGCATTTAGAGGGTGTTAAGTTGCCATTTGCTGCCACCGGACAAGATGATATCGCGATACAATATGATTGTAGTTGTTGCCCCTGAAACTACACGCAGTTTGCTGACATCCTTTGCTCCGAACTGCCTGTGGGACAAAGCGGTGGCTTTGCACCTTGCGGGCGACGACGGGCGTGTATACATCCAAGAACGTTTATGTGTGCCAGCGACGACCACCTTGGCCAATTCTTGCACAAGACGGCACCAATCGGTACCGCAATGTGGAGGGCAATAGCCACTCTATGAGCTAACGCAGCATGACCTGGCCATCTTCGGAGCGGCTACTGCTGCATTTTCCACGTCATCAAATTGGGTGAATTGCCCTCCCCAGGTGGGCGGCCGGTTGATCCGAATGTGTCGAATGTACTGCAAACAGAAAGTGGTGCCCATAGTTCAGTTCGTAGGGCTTTATTTCGCAACACAAGGCACCACGTCATCCCGCTTGATTCTTGATAATCCTTCCTCCTTCCTAAGGCTTCTCAGTAGCCTCCTAGTGTGTAACGCGGACTGGTTCCTTGTAGCTGAAGCTCCAAAGCACTAATCATACTGGAAATCACAGTCCTTGCACATGTGCACGTGCCAGGGCCAAAACAACATATTCACTCGATTGTGGCGATAGCTGGCATGCGCATGGGGGCCGACCTGCTGGCTTTTCGTTCACTGACAGCTGGTCGATGTTAGAAGAAAATTGGATGGAAGGTTGGTGTGCGTCGGTCTTGTACACCTTCACACTGGGCCCGCACGTGATTCAAATAACGTTGACCGATGGTGATTTGTAACCCACAGACAAGTCAGAAAGGTTGACATGGAATAGCTATGTTATGCACGGACAGTCGCAAGGGCCGCTGGAAGCACAGGAAAACAACTCGCTGAATCACTGCCTCACAGTTCCTGCTACATCCTTGCTACAGCGGAATACAGTAACAGATTGCCCTTCACCCGCCCACCTATCTGCCTTCTGAACGGGATCAAAGTTCTCCACAATAAACTAGTTTATGGTGGGGAACTTTGATCCCATTGGGGAGTACTGAGTACTCAGTAGTGCCGGGTGGGCGGCTCACTGTGCCGTCACTGTGCGCGACTCCCAATGCATTGCTCATTCGCAACGACCAAGCACATGCACTGAATCGCCTCTCACTGACCAAGAAGTGCTTCCTTCCCAACACAATAGTGTCCATGCTCAGACCATGTGAAGGCCACAAAAAGCTATCAACCGTGGGTTGAATCGCGCATTCCTCACTCTGTTCTTCAAGGCAGGCTTCGCCAGTGCAATGTCCATGTGGATCAAGCGCCGCACTGATGCCGTATCGTCCAAAATGTGTTGTTGATGAAGGAGGAATTAGGTACTTGCTTCTTGTACCGTCTCCGGACTTCAGCTAGCTGGACCCAAAGTACAGTGTTGCACTTTGGGTGGCATGTCTGCAAGCGGCGCACACGTGCATTCTCTGCTAAATCGACACCCCTCCCCCCCCTGCTGCTTAGCTTGAACACCGTGGGTGAATACTAAACATGATATGTGGACAAACAATGTGCCCTCCGGCTTTTTGTTCCTTGTATTGTTCCGGGGCTCCCTCCTATAGCGCCTGCAATATTGTTGGAATATTGTTGGAGGGGTTTCGCCTTGTTAATTTGTAATGCCATCTTACCCCCACCCCTCATCCACCCCCCAGCCCCCACCCCCTCCCTGCCTGCCCCCTTTCCTTCTTCTTGTTGTCGGCTCGCACATCCGATCAGCCCTGACTGGGCCGGCGATGTCAAGCATGGTTCACGATCTGCACCGTTGGAGTTGTGGGACGCCTTCCCGCAGCTTGGGGAGGGGGGGCGCTGCCAGCCATGAGGCCTAAAGAATATTGTGTCGTCCGCGCTGCGCATTCGTGGTTAGCATTCTCAGAGACACGACGCAAGAAACAGTGTGAAGCCGTACACAGCTGGCAAAGCAAGGCTACAATCTCACGGCAGGTCATCCATGGATATGCAATGATTCTGTCCGCTCTGTCCACACAGTCACGCCTGTGCATAACTTCCTGTCTATCCATACATTCGTACATAGCGTCTCATCATATCATCACAATACCATACATAAAATCTGAGCACATCATCACAACAGTTACAAGAGGTTCCCGCCAGCATCTTTTGTATCGCCCAAGACCGACAATTGGCTTTCACTGTCCGGCAACCTGAATTCTTCCCACGTACCCATTGAGCTTTGCGAATCCTTGGCGACCAACACCTTCCACCCACTACCCAGAGCACCGCTGGTCCTACTTGCCCTTTTGTATCGTGCTTAGCCATCAAGCAGTGATGATGTTCAAACGCAGTCACATCTGTTTCTCGTGTGCCCATATTCAACGAATCTTAACCTTATTAAATTTGGTCCTTTACAACAATCTATCAACAGGATAGTAATTCCAACATTGCAAGGATCGCCAATACGAGTTGCGCTATTCTTTGGCATCTTGCACATGTTTGGGAAATCCTTCGTCGGGCACTCAGCCAATGGACTCAGTGGAGCAGCGCTTCAATCCATGTGCTTCAACAGCACAAAATGCCCTGGAACACAACTGGCATCGATTGCTGGCGAGTATTTGTTTCAACCCTTGCACACCCTCTTTCCTTGTGCCATGTTAAGAGCATGGGGTGCCATGTTAAGAGCATGGGGTGCCATGTTAAGAGCATGGGGTGCCATGTTAGAGCATGGGGAGGCCCTTCCGTCTCCCATCTGTTGTGTGGTTTGAGACGACAGCATTAACCTCATTCAATAGACAGGCTTTGAATCTGTATACCCATGTGGTGATCTGGACACCACATGCAGGGACATGGCACTTTTCAACGCTCATGCTCACATAATCTTATCAACACTACGACTGCCACATCCTCTTGCAGCCGTGACTCGATTACAACCCAATCTTTGGCCTGGGCCCTGGGGTCATACCACCCCTGACACACCACTGCACAGTCTTACCACGGATGGCAGCGGTCTGTTCAGCAAATACTGTTGCTGTACGCATGACTGCCAGCAGACCTTCAGACGCACCACCACCACAAGATGTTCAGTACACTGCTCACAGAGAGCTGACTGAAGCACTGCTCCGTCTTCCAGCAGGGAGAAGTGCAAGCAGCAGGTCATGCTTCACACACTTGACTCATCACAGTACCATCATGGCAAGACATTGGATATAGGTGGGCCAAAAGACACCCCTGCCCACCATGTGCAGCACATTCAGCACCTTTTGCACAACAATTCGCCAACAACCTAATAAGTAGTCCAGTTGTTCAGACTGCAGTGGCTTATCACCATTGGGCTACACTCAGTTGCCGGGAGCTGTGGCAAACAGTAATGGTGTACAAAAGGTCTTAGTATTGAACCTGGATCCCGAATGCTTATGGCTACAGTGCACATTCAACCCAAGCCATCGAGAAGAAGCATGAATGCCCCCTTGCATTAATGTTGCCAGTTCCAGAACTGGCACATTCCAGAATTTGCACAACGCAGCCTGTGGCCCCGATGGGCTCTGCATGCAGCCTGCATCCTATGCAGTGCATCGCCAGCTTGACGAGTTCTGGTGTCCAACAAGGTTGCAGTTGGGCACAGACAGCCTGCCATTCACTAACACTGCCACCATCACTATCACCATCCAGAGCAAGTCCTGCAACTGTGCATAATGTGGCCATTGCGGGGTCAGCCATGTTTGCCAGAATCAACTCCAGGCTCACGCAACTGTTGGTTCCCTCACCCCCCACAACCTTGCCATCTTGCAAGCCACTGCCACAAGCTCTGGTGTCCAATTGTCATTCCGCAGTATCAGGCGCTGCAGGAGGCATGGTCGACGGCCTCGCAGAAGCTCCACAGCATTCCTTGTCGATCGGATCGGATTATTGGACAAGTCCAGCACCTCCAGGCTGGGTACCTGGTGCATCGATATCCAAGTGATTGAAACAGTGGCTGTGCACAAGTGGGAATGACAAAGAAAACTGGCAGTCCCAGAACTAGGTTCAATTTGTGGCAATTATGGATCGAGTCATACAGAACAACATGCACTGTGAACCACGCCTGAGCCAGACAATATTGTATTATTAATAACTCTGCAACGCAACATAGTTGGGACAGCTTAATGGACACACCAGTCCTAAGTGGGGCTCGCAAGAAGCTGGATCAGCCTACCTAAGGATTTCATGACCCATCAGGAGAGGCTGGAATGAACAACACCAAGCCAACGAATTCGCTGCACTGCCATTTGAGCGTTAGACATGGCGTTCTTTTATAACTAATGCCAAAGCACCAGCTGTATCCACAAAGGACAATAACCCAAAACTCATTCAAATCATTGGAACCACCAAATCATTGCGATTTGCTGTGACTTCCGATCCGCACCACTTCCTCCCTTCCCCTATAGAGCACCAAGCTTCACTTCTTTGAGTATGAGCATTCATGAAAACATGGACAACATGGGGCTTGCATCGCGTTGGAAAATTCGTCAGTTGGCAAAACGCCCACTTACCTTCACGTAGGACAGGGCTGACACCAGGACTATTCAATGTGATGCACACCACAAAGTTCTTGTCCGGCTGTAGAATTGTCTTCGAATTGATTCAGAAATACTTAAGAATCGACAACAAAAAACACGTACCTGCATGTCTACATTTGGCAGCCAGCTTCATCACAACTATGCAAGAAATAAATTTCCACAGCATTCGCAGTGGGACTGCACCTGGCACACTGCCGCTGGGATGGCCTCCAGGCCACAGCCCCTCAGCAGCAGGGTCCGCAGGCTGACTAAGGCAGCCAGAGAGGTGGACAGGTTAGAGAGGGGGTTGTTGGAGAGGTTGAGTTCAGCCAAGCTACGCAGGCAGGTCAGGAGTTCAGGGACCGCCTCAAGGCCACAGTCTGACAGGTTGAGGGCACGGAGACGCATCAACTTGCCAATGGGCAGCATGACCTCCTCAGGGAGGCGCTGGTCAAAAGGATTCCTAGAACAGCAGGCAAGACAGCCTTTCAGACCTGACAGAGAAGAATGGGAGCACAAGGGCATTGATCCATCATATTTGTTGAATGCAGTCACTGCAGACTTGCACTTTTCCTGGTCGAAGCAGTCCTGGGAAGGTGGTTGTAAATGTGTGATACAGCCAGTTCCTGCAGCATTTGTATCAGAGCCAAAAATCAGGGGAAGGGCGCAATCGTTGGATGGTAAAAGTTGTTTCTGCAGTAGATTGTCCATGAAGACATGTATGTTGCATGGCTCCATAACAAGGACTGCCCTATCTAATGCCACTGAGCCACGAGCACATTGTCAAGTATAGCAGCGACAGAGTCTGTGGCATAGCCACACAACTGCATGTCTCCTTCTCCTTTTCACTGCTTTCCTTCTCTTGTACTTTGGCACGAACATGATGTGCCGCATGAATTTACACAGCAGCAAAAACTGCTAGGGGAGATGAACCTTGTATGAAGTTGGCGCCATCTGTTGAGGATGCATTTGTTGACGAGATTCATACACTTTGTCTTCCATTGCTGCAGTGAATCAGTTTTCCTTGGCTTTGAGGCAGACAAGCAGGAGCTGCTGACAGATTAGATTCCTAGCTGCAAACAGCTGAACAACATTTACCACAGGACAGGGGCATAATACCATATAACCCGATAGCCAACAATGACAGCAGCACAATCTGCTCAGTATCGCATCGAGAGTGCAGATCGGGACCCAAAGTGTCGCAAGGACGTCATCTTGGTGACGGCAGATGACATGGCCAAGTGGTGGGAATATTGGTGGTGGCCCTCCACCACCAAACTCCTCAGGCCAGTCAGGTCATACAGCAGTGGTGGCAGGTCTGGCCACAAGGGCTCACTGACCCTCAGGTCTTGCAGGGTTGTCAGGCGGGAGAGGTCCTCAGGCAGGGTGAGAGTGACACGGCCCGTGCCAGCCACAGAAAAGGAGCGCAGGTGCCACAGCGTGCCCAACTGAGGGGGAACCAGCACAAGGTTCAGGCCAAGGTGCAGGGTCTCGAGTTGACGAAGACCTACAGCAGAAAAGTACAATATGATATAGCAAGCATGCACGTTGTTAAGACCCAATGCACCTCACAAAACCTTCGCACAAAGACTCATATTGCCGAGACACTAAGAAGTAGAGGAATAGCGATCAGGAGAGATGCCTGAAAAGAAACTGGTGAAGGCGGCACCAAGAACATAGCATGAGTTGGAATCCTTATAGCAAACCATGTGCTTGCACCCACACTCCAATGGCCACACGACCATGCCGTGGAAATTGCACATGAGCAGTGGTCTTGCATGGAGGGCGATATAAAAGGTGAAGGCCTGGATTGTCAGATTCAAACTTGAAACCAGCAGCACTCCAAACAAGATGAGGAGTACTCAACAATTGGAATGCAATGAGCATTGTGGCCAATCGCTCTTAGCACAAGGCTGTTCTCAGGTGTGTACCTCACTGCCCATCACTGGCTGCCCACATCAACTGATAGCACGTAACGTCATCAATAGAGGTGAATTTTCATTGCTCCCTAATTCGTTCCCCAACAACAATGATCCCACACATTACACAAAAAGTGCACATTCAGTGCACCAGCCTTATTAAACTGCACCCGCAAGCATTTGCAGCTGGCCATTCGCACCGAGTAACAACGTTTCCAGGCGACCTTTTCCAAGATGAGTGGGGATGCCGTTGTGTTCCTCCCCACAGGCAACTAGCCTCTACTCTAGCAGTCCCATCCAGTTGGGACACTGAGCAAGCGATGCTTGTCTGGCAAACAGCCAAGGAATTCATGCATCACTAGAAAGCACAGCTAGAATTTCCAAATTCTGAAAGGCTTAGTGAAGTGCAGTTAATATGTCATGTCCAAACAAACAGCAACATACCCCCATGCCTGCTGAGTGTTGCCTACTTTTGAATGGATCATATAACACACCTAAAGGAACCTACTCCATCAAATGCAGAGTACAAAATCAACTGCTTCTTGAGGTCCGCCACATTATTCATCTCCTGCATTCAGAGATTTTATGAACACACATTGTGGTATGGAGATTGAAATCAGAGTGGTTCATTGTTGCGACTTTCCTTTTAGGCATTTTGGCAGCTCCTGCATCTTCATCAACAGTGGAGAGAACAATATCAACCCTCATGCCCAGGATCGGATTGCATCGACTGCTGCAATTCTGCGCACAACCTTTGAAAACATCCCATGCAAAGCTTCAGAGAATCTGCTTCATCGTTTCCCTTTGGAACCAAGCTGGTTCTGTCCCCTCACCAGCGAATTCCGAACAAAAATCCAATCACGCGAAGATATGTTGGGTACCAGCAGCTGAGACAAACATCAGCAACCACCTTGCACATGCATCTGTGCACATGTGCATGTGTATGAAATGGCCTGGGGCACTGAAGGCAATTCAGGACTCTTCCATCAGAGTGGGGTGGCCACACCCAACACCATGACACACATACAATACCCCACCTGAAATGCACACCACGTCAGCCCCCCTAAAGGGATTGTGGGGGTCAGGGTCCAAGCATGTGATGGACAGCCACTCCAGGTTGATGAGGCACAGCAGCGACGACAAATCGCGAAGCAGCTCCCTGCGGGCAAGAGACAATCCACTTGATTTGATCCCCCAAAGCACGATGAAGCACAGCCCTTCTGCAAGGCTATGATAAGCATTAGCCCATCAAGATTATAAGTTCAATGACGTTGCCATTTACCCCTCTGCACAAGCCCGGCGATGGCTGGCACAGTGCTGCAGCACTGTTTGCTGGATACTGTCTGTTCATACTCTCCCAGGCAAATGGCGGGCCCAACACCAACATTATGCCCATTCAACAACGCTTGTTGATTTCCCCCTGCCTGCTGGCTTGGATCTCCAGGACGCACAGCCCCGCATTGCAGATCCCAAACAGGGCTGCCATCCCCACAGCCGTAAAATCATCCAAGTCGAGGCCCAGGCACTGCAACTTGAGGTCTCTTATCGTCACATGCGGCTGGCTCGCCCAACGGAAGACACTGGACTGGCGCACGGGCGCTTGGGAGACAGGGTGCTCGTTGGAGGGGTCCACCACCACCTCAGACCACAGTTCGCTGCTCTTTGAGATCTGTGCCCAGCGACGGCAAACCATGGGCACAGCATTGTGCCTACAGCGCAAGGTATGGCAACCCTGTTAGTACATTCCTCATAGACAGATTGATAGCAGGCACGCTCATTGTTCGCTGTACCTTTGTTGAGGGATCGGGACGCGGCGGATGTGCAAAACACTTAGCACATATATTGGACAACAAGCACTGATGGCACACTGATAGATGGGCGCACCTCAGACAGTTTCATTGCACACTAGGAGTTGACATGTAATACCTGTGCCACATTATCTGGAGCTGTGTGTGTGTGCGTAATTGTATGAACAGTATGGAAACCATATGTACAGCAGTCCTTGCTTCTACATTCTCCTCGTGGACACACTGCATGCACCCCACCGACCCCCTTGGGATTCAAGCATCTCGCCTAGGCATCTGCAAGACAGTTTGGTAGAATTCCATCACCATTTTTAAAGGAATGGACTTGGCAGAAGAATATCAACCTGTCTGTGAGGTGCTATTGTAAGCAAGGGGATTTCTTCATAAGGACGTTGTAAAGAGGCTGCTCAATGCAACCCAGTTCCCCAGCAATCCAAAATCCCCCCAGCCCCTGACAACTGTGGTGGCCAGCTGTGGCAACAGCAGCACTTAATGCAGCACAGCGCTGCCAGCTTGCCAATGCAACAATACCGGGCCCCCATGGCGATTCATGAAACAGGCCAACACTTCCCCTTGATGGTTTTGACCTGCAAGGGCATTATGCGATCTGAAAAATTCAACATGCCCCATGGTACGTTGCCTATCTGTCCCAGCTCAGGTGTGCATGGCCCACAGACTCTGCATCCTGAAGAACTTCCACAACGTCCCTCGGCCTTCCGCGATGGCAACCGAAAGAATTCGTTGACTAGAATGGAAACATGCCATGCAATGCCGACGTCCTCCCAGCAACGGGTCTGCGGGACGCCTTTCCCAGGCTGCGGAAGATGACGCAGAAAACCTCTGAGCACAACATGGAAGCGCGCAAAACAAAGCAGGAAATGCAGCAACAGCCATGACAGCAACGCTCTGCACACTTCAATCTGCGTCCAGGACTGTTCCCTGACTGGGTGGAGACCCAGTGCCCGTCATCGCCTCAAATCTGCAACTTGTTCGGCGGCTTTGGCGAGTCCATCCACGCGGAGCGCCTCCGGGGTCCCAGTCCCTCGGAGCTGGTTGCAAGCAATCACGGCGGGAGCTGCCCGGAGCTCCAAGCAACACCTTCCGCCCCCAAAACAGCCCGCCACAGCGACCATTTGACGCCCCCGTCGAGCAACCCAAACCAGCCCAACACCGCGAACGAGCCCACACGGCCGCACCCTCGGATCTGCTCCACAGGCGCACCCCCCAAGTAGACCCTCTCCCCGAGTCCTCATTATCCTCTGGGGAGAGGCAAGCCGCGCGTTCCTCTCTCGTCTTGAAGTCCACGCAGTTGAAGATCTTCAGCAGCAGCTCGTCCGTGATCGAGACCAGGTCCACCATGCTGGCGTCCGGCCCGTCGTTGCGCGGCCAGTGGTTGACGAACGATTTCGCCATCAGCGGCGCGGGACGGGGTGCGCGGGGCTGCCCGACGGCATCAAGGCGGCAGGCGGCTGGGAACGATTTGGGCGGAGGAGGTTGGGGTGGCCCTTGAGGAGACGAAAGAGGAGGCGCGGCGGGCGGCGGGGAGGATCTGGCGCCGTGGCGTCGCTAGACTGCGCGGCGCACGCTGCTGAAACCGTGTCTGTCGCGAACGCGATTCAAATCATCGTCTTTATGGGCGTTGGGTGCGAAGGACCCTCCGATCTGCACACCTGCAATTTTATTATTGTTTATTATTGCAACACAGTTTTCAGAGGTTTATTTTGTATGTCTTGGCTCGCAGTCAGATTGGACATGTTCCAGGGAAACGGTTTTGCACAAACAGGGGCACTTTGCCTGGTTTGCCCGATTTCTTCTCCTTCAGCCAGCCGCGCTCTGGCATGCAGAGTGTGTCGATAGCTTGTTCCCCACACCGGATTCTCGGCTTGGAACTGGCCGTTTCCCATCGCTATCCATTCGTTCCATTTCCCCATTTTCGTCATTGTCTTCTTATTTCGCTGATGTTCTGGAATGGGCTCTCGACTTGGGTGGAGAAATTCTTGAACATGCTCTGGGAAGAATGATTGTATGGTGTTCATTTCAACGACTTATGATTTGAAGTATTCAAATCAAAAATGCTCAAATATTGTTCCTTCCACCATGGTGATTTTCATAAGCACCCTTTTTTCGTATGTTGGCTGCATATAGCGCTTAAAATCCCTAATAACAGGATTAGATCACACTCATAATTACAACAGCGCAAACTCACAGTGCCTTATCAGGAGGCTATGTAATCGATTTGTTGTTCTTTTGATGTATTTCGAAATAACCTAACATTTCCGAATTTTATGAGGTAAGTCTTCAAATATTCGACTTTGCACAGATGCCTGTGCACCATTGCCCGACACAGCATGTTTTCTCACAACGCAGCCGTTTGTGGCATGCCTGAATCATGTGATTCATACCTCCAAAAATTGATACCTCTAAAAATAGGCATATTTTAAAATTTTTGCCAATTACGCGTATAACTGCGTATTTTTATTTAGAACCAGTCTTATTTCCCAAGACTGGTGCTGCCAGGATGGTGGAGATCGATAAAGGGGGAGGCGCATATGGTACACAACAGGAAATCCTGGGGCGTGTTGTGGCATTGCGACTGGTCATGGTGAGATATGTATCTTGCAGATGGCTGTAATTTCGTGACCAAAGCGCTAAGGATTCAGCTGCTGCTATGGAGCAGCGACGGCCATGACGGTGCGCGTGGCGATTGGGCAACGCATACCGCTCCGTGGGCGCCGATTTGCCAAATTCAATCCCGATCGGGTGACTCGGCCTCGGCTTCAACTCACTTTGCATCGACATGTTCCGGCGTCCAGGCAGTTGGCCAACTGGCTGCCATTACATCGGCTCAAAACATGGCTCGTGAGACTCGCAGAAGCATGAGCTGAACTGCGATTTGTTGCGCCGCGGCGACAAAGGTAGGGAATGAGCCGGGGTTTCGACCAACGGCATCTACGGATCTAGGTGCTGAGGCTAGTGTCATGGAGATGCGGCATGGTTGCTGATGCACGGGGCGAATCATCAAGACTGACGGCGACGAATAGATGGTGCCAAAACTACAAACAAAAAGCAGAAGAGAGTCACGTGTGCGCATGAAGCCGGTAAAATACTGTCAATTTTGCACAGTTTCCAATTGCTCACAAATTGTGTTAAATTAGGAATACATCGCGTATTTGAGGCTTCAGCGGAGTCAAAACAGGACCGAATCTTACTCCCTATTCCATGCTGTTGGTGCCATTTTGCGCCAGTGTAATCGCAGACTGTATGTTGTAGTCGCAATAATTAGTGGATGTTTGCAGTGGGAAATCATGGAAGTGAAATGTGATTCATGGTGTTTGAAGCGCGCAGTCATGTTATGTGTATGCGTTGCATGTTATCTAGAAAATAGAAAATGCTGACTGCATTACAGCAGTTTATGACCTCTTGCCCTCTGCAAAATTGATTGTGACGTGGCTGCTTGGGGTTTCGGCTTATTTGACATTTCTGGAGTGGTAATTACGTAATTGGCTAAATCGACCTTTTGGGGACGTTATTAAGAGCTTCCTGGTTCCAATGCGCTTTTAAACGCCCAAATCCGTTAAGAATTGACGAAGATATGGCCTCCTGAAGTCGTAGTACTTAGTGCCAGGGGGTCGGGTGTTAGACGCTTGGAATTAGAGGACAATGGGTCGATCGTAGGTGAACGGTGGATGGTGACTGAGTGCCTGGACGCGCACATGAGTTGTCTTGTCTTGATGTGACAGCGATGGACCCGCGATCGGGCATCGCGCATGCGATATGTGCGCGCGCATGCTGTGAATCCGTGTAACTGTTCTGGCCCACTCTCTGGCCTCCCGCGAGCCAGCAAACCACCGCCTCGCTGTGCCGCCACCACTCACCGACAGCAGGCCCCGGGGATCGATCCCCGTCGAGCATTGGGCCCACCGCGCGACCACCGAATCGACTGCCCCGGATACGCCCACCATCCAAGGTGGAGAGAGCCGGCTGACCTCCAACAGCCGAGCCGCAGGGCAGGGCGACCCCCACGCCTCCGGAAACCAGCGGCCGCCGACGGGGCCGCAACATTGATTGGATTGGAACTAAAGGGAACGCAATTGGTACAGACGCCCTGTGCATAAATATATTATTCATAATAGGATTGCTTTTGAGAATAAAAAATTCATGCTTCCGGGGGTTGATTTCATGTTTTCGACTCAAACGACAGCTCTGAAGTGAATAGACTGTGCATGGTTTAGTATGACAGTGGAGGCGGTATACAGTGACCCGATACGATCTGAGTGGGCATTGGGATGCCGAGGGTCACTCAGTGCGGAATTCTGGAATTGGAAAGGGTTGCAGAAGACAACTCTCCTATGAC